TCATTTGTAGATAGTGCATACAGAAATTATTTCACATTGACATTAAATTTCGTACAATCTAAATATATGAATTGGCGCTTTAAAAAGTGATAACGTTTCTCGAGACCCGAGGAAGGCAAGTAGAAAATATATAAATATCTGATATATTCGATATATTTATAGTTAAAAACCAAAAACATTTTTATTTACGAAATTAAAACGCTTCAAAATATACCCAATCTGTCAGCTGAAAAAAAAATGGCCAGAAAATTGGTCCATTACTTTCGATATTGAGATTATTTTATTTGTTAAACTCGCAGTGAAACGCATAGCAAAATATACTGCATTTTAAGTTTATGAGAGTATGAAATTCAAAAGGGAGATCAGCTAAAAATATAAAAAATAATTGCAGATGACTTGGCGCATTTAAAATTATAACACGATTAAGCTGTGGCTATAAATCATGTTTGGCAAAAACAAAAAACCCCATGAACGAGTTATACAAAACGGATATGAGTACTCTACATATTCACATATAGATAGCAGCAAAATATTTGAAAGTTGAGTTTTCAAATTATCAGCAAAGTTGTCGTTTATATTTTCGTTCATTTCGAGCAGCATCAACAACCGTCAGTCCGGCCGGGTTTATTTTAAATTGATAAAAGTACGAGAAAGCAAGGATATCTTCAGCACGCCGATGATTTCATACCCTTGCATTTGTATTGCGCTTTTGCAGATATGTTAGAATGCTGAGTTTGGTGAAAATAGCTTAGAAAAGAGAATGTTTTGGCATACAAAATATTGACCGATCGCTCCTATGACAGCTATATGATTCAGTGGTCCATATATTTGAGAAGTATAGTGAAACTAATAAGTACCGAGTTGAGTCAAGATATCTTGCTAAATAAAGAAGTTTTCCATACAAGAAAATAGTTTGATGATATATTTGTCCGATCCGGCCGGTTCCATCTGGTAAGGATGAAAAGTTTGCAAAGTTTTAAGTCGACAGCTTTAAACTGAGAGACTAAAAAGTATTCCCGAAGTTAGGGTATATGTCAGTCGGGCAATCTAGATCAGAATACTTTCGCTTGGTTAAAGTGTGCAGCATTGTTTGTTATATTTATATTTCGATACATTCTGCCATTATGACAGTAAAAGTTTATAGTATGCAATAAGAACTGGATTGCTAAGATATACCTTAGGAAACTATAACTATAATTACACTCAGACGATACACTTTGGGATGGACATGCTTCTCTGGAAGCTAATCTCATTCACTAAAATTTAATGGTAAAGGTTATATGGACTAGACTAATTGGATGATAATAATTTATACATGTCATGTTAACATTATCATCGTGCCTAAAAAGGGCTCAACATTTCTAAAGCAGTCTGAGGGCAGGGTTTGCTACGTCAGCAATTTTCGTCTATAGCATTCTATCGCACACACACACACACGCACACACACACACACATACATCCCTAAATAGAGGTACGTACAAAATGATAAGAAATTTCGCGTGAAATGTCAGTCACGTATTTATGTTCCATGACGCTTATCAAACTCAAGTACATATGTTCCTCATAAAATTGTATTTATACTTCATGATCTTTGGGAACCATATGATCATTAAAAAATTACATTTATACTATCACTAACAGGTATTCCCCGGCCTTGCCCGTGGCAAGTTTTCTGCTTAAAATGTATACAACTTCCTCACCCAGATTTGGCTAAGGAAAAATTAAAATTTGCTCGTGCTATTTCGAACTTCACGTCAATTTGAAAATATGTTTTAGGGCTGTCAAATAAGGAAGCAAAAGCTTGAATTAATAGTTTCCGCGCGTGAGAATCTTGAAGCCGAAAAATAAACTTTCGTTTATTAAACTTGCGGGCCGCATTTTTCATCAACGGGCGCTGGATTTCGCGAAGAACGTATTAAAAAAAATTTCCCAAAGATCTCTGAAAATGAGTTTGAAGAAATGGGAAAAAGCAGTTGCAATTTTTCCGCCAAATTTCCACAGTTGCGAGTGGAATTTTCAAAATTGCTGCAACACACAAATTTGAACAAAGTTCTTTGAAAAAAGGTTTGAGGCTGATCGAATGGTAATCCAAGAAGTTTTATATTCGGTAGTCCAAAGCAGCCTTATAAATAGAGTCGCAAGGGTCAACAACTGATATTGCACAAAATCAATCGTTTCAACCGAACGGAACGGAAATATAAAATGTGCAGATTGTGTGTGTGCCTTGGGTTGGTATGCATGATAAAGGGTATTCCCCAGTCGGGCACTCTCGACGAGAACACTTTATACCAGTTATATATGAATCTGATAGTCTGCAAATTGGCAGGAAGCTAAAAACTCAGTAGCAATGATAAGCACGGTCGTAAAGTGCGCCAAAATGAAATCAAACATAAATAAATGATGTGTCGTTTGTGTTTCTATTGTTTGTACGCACATGCCGACTAAAACTAACAAATAATGGAAATAATTACAGCCGTAAACCAACGCGCAATCGTGAAAACCAACAAACGGAACGAGTGCGAGCTGCGTATCAGGCCTCAAAGATCTGTATGCACATCTCTATGTCTAGCTAAAGACGACTGTCGTGTGCTGCAGCAGAAACTGGAGGCAATTGGCAGCGCCACGTTAACGGTTCCCGCGGCCGCAAGTACAGAGAGCATAAGAGAGAACTAGAACGCCAAACAGACTGCACAGGCAAAAAGAGAGGAGAGAGACAACAGTCAACATCTTCCCAACGTGTAGATGCTCTCTGTAAAAAGTATATGTGGAATGTGAAATGAACTGAAAACGTGCTTCTACAATGAACAGAGCAAAAAAGTCTGATTATGCCTGCATAACGTGCATACTTAATATATCAGAAATCTTCTTTTAGAATTTTGACCTAGTCGAGCCCTCAGTCATTCAAGAAAAATATGGCCGCTTTTTTTGTAAATATCACGAAGAAATTATAATTACTGAGATATATAAAAGAACATGAACTCATTGAATTTTAAGGTTTTTTTAAGAAACTAAAGATGTTATAAAATTAATTTTTCACGCTCTGGTATTAAATAAAACTCTTTAGCCGAGATATAAACAAGATTATATTTTGTATTTTTAATGCATACACAATTACAATCTTTTTTTTTAGAGTTTACCGTCTGCTGACCCACTGTGTGATATAGCAACAATGACCCTAGATAAGGATCTGTGCCAGATTTTTAAACTAATCTTTAGTAAGCATTTTCCTTAAAATATTTGTAGTTCATACATGAGTATAAGAATTTTATTGCCTTAGTTATATTCGAACAGAATTTCCCTGTAATGATCCTCTAGATCCTCTAGTATATTGAAAAATAGAAAAACTAACGAGAACAATGCATAATATAATTTATTAATTGGGTATATAAATCAATGCCTTACTTAGTCAGGCGCCCTTTGAGCAAACACATGGTGACAGGGTATAAGAGAAAGCCGGGATTCGCATTCGTTTGTTTATCGAATTCTGGTTGAACAGGTAAGAAAAAAGTAAATAGTCTGGAGGGGAAAAAAGGTGCCAAGGGAACGTGTTGCAAACTTAAAATGAGCTCGAGAGTCTGCAAACTATTGACGAGTCACCAAGAGAAGCTGCGAGTCAGACAGAGACAGAGACTCGCTTGTTAGTTGGAGAAGGCGAGGCCGTCTGAGAAACTGAGGAACCGAGGAACTGGTTCTAAGCAACTAACTCGTTTAGACGTACGTCTGAGTTTGCTGTACGCTGAGTACGGTATAATAAAATATAGTTAATTTAACAATGGAAGAAACTCGTTTTTATAACTTACCCGATATAGAAAAAGATGCTTCTTGGAGAATGTTGATATGGTAATTCTTGAAGTCACTTTTAATTGATTTTTAGGTTTTTTTTTTTTTTTTTCTTTTTTCAATCACAAGTTGTATACACACCGATTTTTTATATACTTAGGTATATTGCTATTTTTGTTGAAAGAGACAAAATTTGAGCATAGCAACGACAAATCATAGCCGAGGTCAACAACAACTGCAATAGCTACAGAAAAGACAGCAGCGAGCGCACAATGGAAAACACTAAGAAAACTGCAGACGATGATTTCATGAAATTGACGTTAAATTTCATTTCAAACAATTTTCAATTAATACATTTAATTACGTTTGCCTCTCAATACTTTCGTACCACACAAATAACACGCAACACAACGAACGAACCGCTCACTTTTTCTCCACTACAATTCACGTATCGGCAAGACTGTGTGGGTCTTCTAACACGTAGGTATGTGTATATTTCTTGAGTGGCTTGTAACCAAGTTGATCGCTGTTGTTGCTATCAGAATTTCAATACAATTTTGGCCCAAATTGCATTTTGGCTTTTTCACACACATCACAAACACGCTTTGTTTCGAGTAAGTACCAGGCACACACACACACACAAACAAACACTAATTTCAATTGTTTTTAGAACAATAGACTAAAACATAAAATCATGTACATTGCAACGTGGATGTTATTTGCAGCTCTTTTAATGCAAATAATCTATTTCTTCGGCAACACAAGAAAACAACAATCGGCGACAGAAAAGTAATAACTAAATAATAACAACAAACGCGTCCATCTCGTTCAATGGTTTTTTTTTGACTAACTACAACCTTTGTTATCGATGTAGTTTGGCATAAGTAATCGATATATCGCTATATTCGCGTGCATTCCCTGACATACCGATAAATCTAACAGCAGTGGAGTTCAGAAACATGGTTGCTTTTGCATGTTATTATCTTAATCATGCAGAATACGGAATTTCAAAAATGTAATTCAAAAATATTACTAGTAAAAATGTATTTTATTTGATTTCAACACAACTCTTTAGCATATTACGATTCATAGCTTAGATTTTCTATATACTTGCTCTACAAAGCCACAGGAGCACGTTTGCAATCAGAGTAAGTCATGTAACGATTTAGACATTTGTTTATATTTTTGTTACATGTCTTGCCACTAAAAAGTAATAATTATAAAATTTTTGATTTCGAAAATGCCTAGTGTACTGCTTTAAGTATCCCGCCAATTAAGGCATGCGCCTTAATGCCAAGTGCAAAACCATACACATATCACTGTTAGCTGCAGCACGCCAAGAAACTCAGCGAGTGCCAAATTCTGTTAACTTAACAGTCGTTCTGAGCAGTGTGACCAGGTAGTGGAACATCTGAAATACGTAAGAAAAGGGAAGATGTTGGCATTTTCAAACGAGTAGAGAAAATTGTATTGAACGAAGTGTAAAACGTCTACAACGTCGCAAAGTGAAAACTTTTGATTTTGAAAAGTCGCTGCTGCATACTAATAAAAAACTCTAACATGAATGAGGAATATGATGCGATAGTTCTGGGAACTGGCCTGAAGGAGTGCATATTGAGCGGCATGCTCTCAGTTTCGGGCAAGAAAGTTCTGCATATTGATCGCAACAAATACTATGGCGGCGAGTCGGCCTCCATTACGCCGCTGGAGGAGCTGTTCCAACGGTATGGATTGGAGCCGCCAGGCGAGAAATTTGGGCGTGGTCGTGACTGGAACGTAGACTTGATTCCTAAGTTTCTGATGGCTAATGGCCAATTAGTAAAACTTCTGATACACACGGGCGTTACCCGTTATCTGGAGTTCAAGTCTATTGAGGGCAGTTACGTTTACAAGGGTGGAAAAATTGCCAAAGTGCCGGTGGATCAAAAAGAGGCCCTGGCATCTGATCTCATGGGTGAGTAATTCCAAAAAAAAAAAAAAAAACAAAAAAATGAATTTTTAACGAATGTACCTTCGGATATTAACTGTGAAAACTTAAGGTACATGCGAAAATTGTATGTACATATATACACACATATGTACATACTTCACAATTATCTACGCTCCCCTTTTGCGTTTTCTCCATATTTCTTTGTCTCGGCTTACTTTCGGCGATTGGCACTCGCTGGTGTTTTTGCTATGGCTGTGACACGTATTTGTAGGGGCTCTGTATGTTCTATCCGTGTGTTTTTAAACATATTTTCATGAATATGCTTTTGATTTTTGTAGCTGTACATGTAAGTGAATGTACAACTTAGCATAGCGAATGAAAAACGAATTGGGAATTTTAGCGAACATACATACGTACATATGTAATGCCAATTAGAATTCTGGAGCTGCCAGCTGCTTTGACTGCGCCATGTGGCAACCCTGTGCATACCTTTCATGCAATTAACATTTGCGCTGATTCACTTTTCTACGCCTGTGTGCTTGATGTTGTGGTTGTTGTTGTAGCCGTTCTGATTGTTTATTTTATTTTAAAATGAAATATGTTAAACAATTACCAGTGTGCGACTGCAAATTGCAATTAGCCAATCACGCTCCATTTATGAATTTTGTTTGTTTGTTTACCCAAGAGACAGCAGCGAATTTCTCCTCGATTCATTTCTGTTGCCAATTTTGTTAGTTGCAAGGTTCGTTGAACCATTCATTAGAAGCCTTAATGTGTGGGGCAGAATGACGTCATTTAATAGCTGGTCGCCCTTAACCCTAAATTTAAATTGTGCAGCCTGTAAATATTTGCAAGTCTAATGCGAGTGCGCAACGCCCACACCTAAGCATGTCCTTGTTGCTTGTTAATTTGGCTTGTTGTTTGTTCTGCAGGTATGTTTGAAAAGCGGCGCTTCCGCAACTTCCTGATCTATGTGCAGGACTTCAGAGAGGATGACCCAAAGACCTGGAAGGACTTTGATCCAACTAAAGCCAACATGCAGGGCTTGTACGACAAGTTCGGGCTTGACAAGAACACGCAGGACTTTACAGGCCATGCCCTGGCGCTGTTCCGTGATGACGAGTATTTGAACGAGCCGGCTGTTAACACCATACGACGAATCAAACTATATTCGGACTCGCTCGCGCGATATGGCAAATCGCCATATCTATACCCTATGTACGGCCTGGGAGAGCTGCCGCAGGGCTTTGCTCGCCTCTCGGCTATCTATGGCGGCACTTACATGCTAGACAAGCCGATTGACGAGATTGTTCTGGGTGAAGGCGGCAAGGTGGTGGGTGTCCGCTCAGGCGATGAAATTGCCAAATGCAAGCAGGTGTACTGTGACCCCAGCTACGTGCCCGACAAGGTTAGTTATCCAGTTATTGGTGTGGCTAGTTTCTTCTCTTCAATATCTGTTACTTAATGCTTCAACAGGTGCGCAAACGTGGCAAGGTTATACGATGCATTTGCATCTTGGACCATCCGGTGGCAAGCACTAAGGATGGCCTCTCCACTCAAATCATCATTCCACAAAAGCAAGTTGGTCGCAAATCGGACATTTATGTATCGCTGGTCAGCTCCACTCACCAGGTGGCAGCCAAGGGTTGGTTTGTGGGCATGGTCTCGACTACAGTAGAGACCGAGAATCCCGAGGTGGAAATCAAGCCTGGACTGGATTTGCTGGAACCGATTGCACAAAAATTTGTCACCATTTCTGATTATTTGGAGCCAATAGACAATGGGCTCGACTCACAGATCTTCATCTCGGAATCGTATGATGCCACTACACACTTTGAGACCACTTGCTTGGATGTTCTAAACATTTTCAAGCGCGGAACTGGCGAGACGTTTGACTTCTCCAAAATTAAACATGAGCTCGGCGATGAGGATCAGTAAATAGATATGGTTTGGTTCTTTGGTGGATGGGTGCACGTTTTCAGCCGACATGGGTCACGCCGACAAGGTATCTATCAGCTCCACAACTCCAACCAGCATCTTTTAACCTAATTCCAGCTACGCTGTGCGGCTGTGGCCCACAAAAAAAGAAGAAAAATAAAACAAAAGAAACGAATACCCAATAAAAAACTTGAAAAATTTAATAACTAAAAAAACATCAGCACACAATTACATTATAACTGGAATATGTTTTTCCATCAGATCATAGGCGCATAATATTTTTGTGTAAAACGAAATTTTAGAAATGTAATAAAAAAAAAGAACAAAGTCGCTTGCTTGTCGGATATTGGATATGCCTAGAAAATAAAAACCACGTACGTTATAATCAAATATAATTCATATGGCATTATAGTACATACCCTAATATACAGTCGAGTCACATTTTTGGGGCTTATTAAGTATTAGCCAAAATTGATTGTTGTGCAAAATATAATGTATATCCGTAATACCCTGTCTCCGAAAAGCAAACCATCCGATTTATCCAATTCAGCGCTTGCTTTTTACACAAGAACAATATACAAAATGTTTCCCACAATGTGCTACGCTCGATGTGCTTGCGATTCAGTTGTAAAAGATAAATAAGTATAACACCATATATATGTATATGTATATTGCTATCAATAGATGCTTGGTTCTGTTTTATAATTGCAATTTGTGCACAAGAAACCACAGTCCCATATATAAATATTATAATCCATTATATACGCATAATGTAAAATGCTCTGTAATCCAAAACCAAGCTACAAAGACGAAACATAAGCAAATCAAATTAAATCATCGGAAAATGTAAACATTGAGAAAAAAAAGAAAATTATTTGTGCATCCATATAAGAAGCGATTCGAGAACAGGTCAATGGTCTACAAAACTATGGTATTCCGCATTTTCTGAATTTACATTTTTAATAAAAATAAATAAATTTGAAAACGAATGTTCACTGCATTTCGTGTTTCGATCAACTTAAAGTATTTGAATATTATATTCTTGACATCGGATTACTGGACCACATCCTACTACATCTATGCGTATAATTGTCAGGGCTACTTTCCGGCTGCATTTTGCAATCCCTACGGAGTCTTTTATATACATTTTGTTTGTGCTTCGAATTTTAGATATTTTTTCACCTTTACAAAATTGAATTCCTCCCATGCTATCTCGAACTCATTCGATCAAATAAAGAACCATTACTTGGCCCATGTTAGTATTATGGTGAGAATGTGGAAGCCAAAAAAGAAATTCGTTTAAATAAATATTAGTAAATATCTCTGTAGGTGAAATTGAAGCCATTCGGCTGGTAAACAGTAAAACAAAACAAGGATCCGCCTAATTTCCACAGTTGCCGGTGGAATTTCCAAAATCGCAGAAGCACGTATTTATTTAAATTTATGAAGTGCTTTGAAAATAAGCTTGAGGCCTAAGGCACGAAACATTTATCTTCCAAGAAGGGTAAATTTAGCGAAAAGTGGCATTTTTACAAAGATCTATGGATGAATAATTAAAAACTTTTATATAACGGTTTTCCGCCTATTTACCACTGTAGCGGGTGGAATTGGAAAAATCAATGTTTTTTGATTATTTTGAAAGGTCTTTCTGAAAATCTATTTGATAAGTTTTTAGCAAAATCCATTGCTCTTGGATGGAAACTGTGGGTAAAAGTTTTAATTAATGAAAGTTTATTTTTCGACTTCAACATTTTCTCACAACAAAAGTAACAAGGACGAAAGCCGTTAATTCCAACTCTTATTTCATATGGATGGACTTTTAACTTATTTACAAATTTTGAATGAATTTTATAAAAAACTTTTGGGATAATTTTGGAGTAAAATAATAGTAATGGTCAGCTTTTAAGCTGTTCCTGTTAATAAAGATTGAAAGGGTCTTGAATATTTTTTAACTAAATTTCTTAAAACAAAGAATCTCCTGCAAATTTAATGGCTTCATTTTAGAATTTGTAGCATGTATCAATTTATCCGATTTGAATATTTCTTAACTCAATTTCACATCCAAAGCAAACCGTTTTTTTTTTATGACCCGAAGTGCACAGCTTTAGTTATTATAAAAATCGAATGTGATTCCCTCATCCCTCTGGCCTTGAACGGAAATCGAAAATACAAAATCGGCTTGTCGTTTGACACTTCCAAGGGAAACTGTCAACAGCAGCACGAACAGACACCCGCAAGTTCATAACCGGGCTTAGTTCTTGTTGGCCACATTCAGTTTGTTATTTTTTTCGCTAGAACCTACAACGTATGGCTTGGAAGCTGTGCGTCGGCCACAACATCAAGAGCATCAAATGGAGGGACGGAACTCTACCCTATACTTGTCGCCTGGCTATGGCTTTTAGTGGTAAAAAGTATTCCTCCTCCCATTAAAAATAGGTAAAATGGCTGAAATAGTTTTGTGCAAAGTTATTAAAAGCCGCGACTAGCCTTGACTTGTCCCGTTTCTAGTCGCCAGCATGCCCAAAAACAGGTTGTCCACAATTCATTGAGGGCACTAAGAACACATCTCCGTGTCTTCATTCGTAGCCATACATAAGTTGCCTTGGAATAAAGTAAGGCTCGTCATCTCTGTGGATTATTAACTTTAGGAATGAGACTACGCTTTTAATGCCCTTTCGTAGAGCCCTCGCTGTGAAGCGTCTGCTCCTGACGGATTGTCCCTCTCTGTCATTACTCTTAGTTTGCATCATCGACTGGCACTATTCCTGCCAAGCTTAGATGCATCTTATCCAAACGCTTAGTTAACTCGAGTGGTTCTGAGGGGATATGTGCCGCGGGAGATGATACTCATGGGGAGATACTGCCATTGGATGTTTATATGTGTACAATTGCGGGCAGATCCAAGCAAAGGAATCTATCGTGCATGGATTTCCATAGGATTGAGCCATGGGGAACTCCGGCTGACACTAGGTGAGTCATTGGCTTATTACTTGTGTTGTACAGCAGCTTTCCCCCTCCGAAGTAAGCTTTCTTAACATCTCCGAAAGATACAATATGTCGAGTAACCGATGTTAAATCGGTTTTACCGATATATAATTTTCGAGTGCACATGCAGTAGGAAACATATCCGACCCTCCGCTTGATAGAAGGGGATGAAACAGTCGAGCCATGTCAGTCTGCCCTTTGTGTGATATATATTGTAATATATATCTTGTAATATATATATTCTCAAAACAAGTTTATGATTTTTAATCAGAGTCTCGTCCCATTTCGAAAATGTAGATAAAAATAAATGTTGAGCATTGGTTTTTATGCATAACTTGAAAGTTATTGGACCTAAATACATTTCACTTTTTAGATACCGTTCTCCGCCACCCCCTTCCCAACAAAAGTAAGAGCTATAAAGTGATAGGAAAACGTTGATTTCCGCCTTTGGCTCTTATTCGATGATATTCAGACTAAATTTTATATTTGCAGGTCCACAGGATTTTCCGACCGTTGGAAGAGTGATATCTCAAATATGAAGCTAAGAATTTGGACCACGCCGAGTTCAGGGTGCCTTCTGGCCCGACAAGAAAACTCTTACTTGTTTTGTTTTTTTAATGGATATGTTCTACCAATATATTAAAAAGGGAATTAGGAAAGGGTTCCAAATATTTCAAAGCCCTATGTGCCGTGGGAATATACGCGGTTATATACATCAAGCATAGGCCCCAGTGTGGATACGTAGATCAACAGATCTATTGGATTTAGCTTTCGAGCCTTAAACATTTGAGCTTAAGATATTTATAGTAATTGTTATACAATCATGTCGGCTGGCTTCAATCGTTATCTTTATACAGAGTCCTTGGGCAATTGTTTTGCATTAACGAAGATGCGCTATATGATTGCAGGCATAGCTGGACACGTTCTTCAAATAGGGCAAGTCTCTTACCACACTCAGTTGCATAGTTGCCTTATTTTTTGGTCGGTCGAAACCTTGGAGCCCAACGCAGCATGCAAGTCACATACACTGGGGAGTCAAAGGAGTCAAAATTCGACATCGGCGCAGGGCTGCTGGGCATGGCTCGGACAGACTCATTCGGCTGCCCGTCCATGTCTGTGCCCGTGCCTCGAGGATGTCCTTGTTGCCGGTCAGCTAACGCTAACGAGCGAACAACCAACTGACGTGTGGCGCATTGGGCTCGGCATAACAAGAAACCGCAAAAAGAACAGAGCCAGGACCAGATTGGGGTCAGTTGACGGCGACAATGATACGGATTTGAGCTCAGTTCCGGCTTCGATGCGACTCGGCTTAGGCGTATGTTGACAAATTGAATAACTTTGCGCGTCATGCCATTAATTATAATTATAAATGTAATATGGCAGGCATAACGCATACGACACGTTGCCTCAGCCCGAAATCCCTCGACTTTGTCTACTTGCAGCTGCAACAACCGTCAACTACTTGAGCCTGGTTGCTGCCACGTTTTTTTTTTTATGTTTACTGTTGTTGCTGTTGTTGTTGTTGTTGCTGTTGCAGCTGTTGCGTCTGCTGCTTTTGCTGCTTTTCAATTACTTGCACTTCTCCGTTGACGGCCTCGTTGTTGTTGTTGTTGGCTTTTGCTGTTGTTTGCATTTTCTTTTGCCCAAGAGCTTGTCAACAACTTCATTATCGCATGCGGCACTGTGCAACGTCATCAACTCCCACTAGACAAGCAAATTTAAATCAATTAAGTAATCTTATTGCTGCTGCTGGTGCTTCTGCTGCTCCGCCTTTTGCCGTTGCCTGCTTTTAGGCGCCACACGCCCATCCGCCCACGCTTTTTGTGTCAAGCATTTTAACTGTGGCAATTTCTTGCCATGTGTGGGCGTGGTCGTGAGTGTGTGGGCGGTGGGCGCTGGCAAACTTTTGCTGTCTTGCATATTTTGTGCAGATTAATTAAATTGGTGGCATGGTGCTGCTGGCAAAGCCTGCGAGTATTTTAAGTATTTTGGGCAAGTGTATTAGGAATAAAGAGCAATTTTATATATTTAATGAGAAAACAAGCTGCGTTCAGGCAACTAAATACTTTTATGAGGTGTTATGCAAATAAATTGCTATGACCGCAATCGTAATTTGAGCTGTTTTATAGATAATTTGATACGACTTACTTTGAACAAGCTACAGCTGCTAATGGTATTTTTTACTTTTTACAAATTATTAAGTCAAATACTTTAACAAAGGAAAAGTTTTGTGTTTTGCATGATAATTGTTGGTAGATAATATTTCTATTACCTCTCCATTGAAATGGTTTCAAAATGAATGGCAAATATCCATCTACACATTTTTGAATTTTTTTTATTTTTGTTAACTAACTAATCTAACATTAATTTTTAAGTCCAATACGTCGTTTTTGCTATTCGATTTT